ACAATATATAGATAAAAACATAATTGGGGGTTTCGACATGTATGCGAGGAGCCCCAGTGCAAAATGAGACTAGTCACGAGGGAGCTTTCCCCAAATTTAAAATTTCAAAAACAAAAACAAAAAAGTGGGCCCAAGAAAACCAATTTCCTAAGTATAAGTGGGAAATTACTAAGCAACACACCCCCAAAGAAAGTTTAATCGGTGGATCGATGTTCAAAAGGCTTTTTCCCCTTAAAAGAAAAAGGGGGGTTAGTTAAAATAGAAAGGACAGGCGCTCCCTTTACAGGCGAGGAAAAAAATAACAGAGCGGCTAAAAGAGGTCAATATATCTAAAATGCGAGGGGGGAACTGGCAGGAAATAGAAAGCATCGAATTTAAAGTAAAAAAAATCCTTTAGGAGTCGGGATCGCGGGAAGAACTAAAAGTTTAAAAATGAAAATCAAAAAAGAAACCCAAAGTATTTCTTCTCCTATCCCAAATAAATGAGAAAACCCCCGTATTGGGCCCCTACTTAAACAAGAGGGTCCTAAAAGATGACAGAAAGGGAAATGAGTGAGCTATCAAGCCCCTATGACTCGTTTTAGAAAGCGCAAACCAGATGAGAGTCAAAGATAAAAATGAATTTTTTAGGGAGAGGCCACAAAATTTTTTTAAACAAGCCTTCCGTGTTATCCTGACGCCAAATGATTCGAACAGGCGTTTAAAAGACATGCCCTGCACTCTCCCCCGGGCCGACTAGGGAAAACTCGTGTTCATAAAGAACTCCCAAGAACCCCCTATCACAAACCTTTTTCCCATCCTAGGAGGGGAGCATGGACACGGGGGTGCCCCTCAGTTACTAAAACAACAGACTAGCCCCCTCCCAAAGGGGGCAGTAAAGCAACAGCAAAAAAACTAGCCAATGCCTAAACTCCCATTCATAAAATTTTTAAAAGGGTCCTAAAAGAAGATCATACCATTAGAAAACCCATCAGTTCCCAAAACCCCGGGCAAATGGGTTTAGAACAGGTCGCTCCTGCTGTCTAAAACTACGGGGATCACTACGACAAGGTCCAAAATTGCATGAAGACAAAAAAATGCAGATGTAATTTTACAGATTTTGAAAAAGCTTCGACAAGTGGGGACCAGGGTAATAGCGCAAAAATGGCGCAAAAGGAAAACGGAAAGTCGGTCGATGGATCTATAATTTCCTAAAACAGAACACGAGAGAGTCGTCAACAGAGTAAAGTCCGAGGCAGCTACGGGGGGAAAAGCTCTTTTCCCAAAAGGCACAGTACTAGTCCCTTTTTTCCCTCCCCTAATCCGCATAGACAAGGATGTCAGCACAGCAGTGTCTTCCTTTGCAGATGACACCGATCTGCATGACAGTGTTTCCCCTTGCAGACACTGAAGCCCCAGGCGGACTTTCAAAAAAATCTTTCAGTGGGCTGCAAAAAACTTGAAGTTCAACGATGAGAAATTTAATTACTCAGATTGGAAAACATGGGGAAAATTAATCTTCTCAGAGTACAAACAAATTCTGGTACAAAATAGAGCGAAAAACCAAGTCAAAGACGGGAGTGATTAGCGGAGGATCTCCCCTTTTAAAGGGACCAAAAATTTGATCAATCGCATTCCCAAAAAAATGACGGATGGAAAATGAAAACCTTAAAAAACTAGGGGGGCCCAAACCCCATGATGACACCTTCAGGTCACTTGTTCTTCTAGGCTGGAATATTGTGCACTCAAACAGCCCTTTAAAAGGCAGGTGAAATTCCCGACCTAGAAATGTACAGAGAACTTTCACGGCGCGCATAAGGAAAATAAAACACCCAATTACTGGGAGCGTTTTGGGGTTTCTAAACCTGTTTTCCCCTGGAACGCAGGAGGGGGGATAATGATTATATACCCCTGGAAAAATCCTGAGGGACTAGTCCCGAATTTGCACACGAAAATCACTCACTACGAAAGAAAAAGACTTGGCAGCGATGCACCACCCCCCCATAAAAAGCGGGGTGTCACTAGCCTTTAAAGAGACCATCCCAATAAGTGTAGGGGCCCGAGATGTTCAACGCCCCAGACACAAAAGGGGGGATTCCCAAAAGCCCCCTGGCAGTCTTAAAGCTGGCACTGGAAAGCCCAAAAAGTCTTTCCTGATCACCCGGGCGTGGCTGTACTTTGGTTTTGGTGCACCCAGCAGAAACACCCGGTTGATCATGCGTGATCCACCGGGAGGCCGGGTCCAGCCCGGGGCCCCGCGGGGGCTTGACCCCCCGAAACTCTCTCCAGGTAAACCCAGTGTTTTGGCAACTTTTATTTGCAATTTATTCCCTCATCAATTTCGTTTTTATATTTGTGAACAGGAAGAGTCCCCGCACGACCCCTGTGGCACACCGGTCCAACGGTGCCATTTCAGTTTTCCCCATTAAAACAAACTTTCCGTTGCTCATCGTCAGCAAATGGCGTCGATCCCGGAGATAATTTTTCCTTTTCATGGACCGGCTGTCTTGTTCTGTGTTAAACTTAAACTAAGGCCTCAAAGAAGTCCATATAAACAATATCGTATTCTTCATTCCCTTTTCTTGGTTAGGGATCAAGGGCGTTCAAAAAAACCCTTTCCCTTATGTCGAAGGAAGTCTCCAAGAAAACCCAGCTGTCTTCAGGAGAGAACCCCGTAAGTTCCTGATCAGAGGGAGGTATGCAAGTTATCTTTATGAGGCTGGCACCAGCCCTCCCGGTCAATCAGGCCGGGAATGAAAGGTTTTTCTGGGGGCCAGACCCTGAGGGCGGCCCCCGGGGGCCGACCGCAGGGCGGCCCCCCCGGGGGACCGACCCCGAGGGCGGCCACCCCGGGGGGCCAGACCCCGGGGGCGGCCCCCCCCGGGGGGGCCCGACCGCGGGGGGCCACCCGGGGGACCAGACCGCGAGGGCGGCCACCCGGGGGACCCGACCGCGGGGCGGCCACCCCCGGGGGGCCAGACCGCGAGGGGGGCCCCCCGGGGGGCCAGCCGCGAGGGCGGCCCCCCGGGGGGGCTAACTGCGGGGCGGGGCCCCCCCCGGGGGACCAGACCCCGAGGGCGGCCCCCCGGGGGGCCAGACCGGAGGGCGGCCACCCGGGGGGCCGGGGCCGCGGGGCGGCCACCCCCGGGGGGCCCGACCCCGAGGGGGCCACCCCAGAAAACGACTCCAGATACTTGCTTATTTTTTCATTATATTATTTCATTAAAACTGAGCATCAACATGTTATCTCAGTTGCATTTCGTTGCTTTCCTAATTATAACCCTTATTTAACAGTGATTTAAATTTTTTAACATTTAATTCATTACTTATTCATTAATAAAAATAATAATAATAATAAAAATAATAATACTTTTTTTCTCTTAAGTTCCTGGACAAAAGGGATAAAAGGGCCCCCTGTGTGAAGTCTATACTTATAAAAAGCCCCTTGTTGCAGACTTTGGGGAAATTGGCCATTTTTTTTTCCAGGATGCGCCCCACACCCGTCGACTAAACCCCGGTACCCATTTTAGTGAAGGTCTCCGGAGGTTATGGACAGTAGGTGGAAGATTAAACCGTTTTAAAGTTCCACGTGTAAGGGGATCGACCATGGACCCAGTGGAAGGGGGGGTTAGCAAATCAAACGGGGAAACCCATATTATATAAAATAAAGTGAAAAAATAAATTTTGTATATAAAAGTTTTACTGTAAAATGAAAATAATTTTTATATTGCTAATAAAAAAGAGGATTTTTGGAAAAGGCCCTGTTTCCAGGCGAGGCCGTCATCACAATTAGAACATACCCATACAGAAGGGGGAGGATTCGATGAGATTCGCCGGTTGTCCGGCCCCGGGCCCTTTTCCGTTATTGACCCCGGGAAGGGAAGTAAGGGACCCTCTCATAAGTCACAAGCCCCCGCTAATAAATCATCACCAACCCCCGTCCCGAAGATTGAGTACTATTATTTTAATAGGGGGGGGGCGCTGAAACCCCTAGGATTATCAGGCCCGTGGGGGATGTGGAAGGTATTCAGGTTTAATTCAGGGAAATTTTAGCACATATCCAATTCCCTAGATCAAGAGCCCCCTCACCCGCTCAAGGAACCTTCCCTTTAGGGGTCGACCCGATAGGTAAAGGTTTTTTAAAACCCTAGAGTGTTTACCCCAATTCCCCGATCAATTTTCCGACTGTTGTCCCCTAACATTTAACAGCTTGTAAGCCAAAAAAAGACTGGTCAAAATAATTTAATTTTAATATTTTTTTACTTTTATTCAGTGTTCTTTATTGAGATTTAAAAAAAAATATTTTTCAATGAAACCACTTTCAAATAAAGGACGTCAAAAATGCAGTCATAGGAAAGGGTCGAGCCTAGATGATCTGTTCATAATAGACACAAAAAAAAAATATAACAAATGATTTTTTATACACGTGGCTATTGCCAAAGGGCGGTTTTTTATTTCCCTTGTCGATTATTTTTTATTTGCGTCATAAGTAAAAAAAATGGCCTGCTTATCTAAAGTGATTTTTTTTTTATTGGATAAACAGTAAGCCTATACTGTTTCGTTTTAGGGAAACACATACCGCTGACCTATGGTGCAAAAATTTTAAAAGTACTTTTTTTTTTACCCTTTTGTGAGAAAATCGACTAAAATAGATTTTTTTACATAAGTTTATACGAGTGTTTGTCCCTATTATAACTTAAAAAAATTTAACCCCCAAACGAAAAGCGTTAACTTCGACTGAAACAAATCATATTTCAGAAAGGTGGGTTTTTCCCAGTCAAGACCTCTTGGGCAATGAAATTAAAACAGTAGGTTGAAACCTGATTGCCTATCATTCTGCAGGCGCTGTGACCCTTGTTAGGTTAATGGACACAGATGCAGCTAACGCGACATTTTAGTGTGGCAACGTTTCGTTCTCCAGGAGCTTTGTCAAGCCGTTATGTTAACGGCTTGAGAAAGCTTCCGGAGAACGACATGTTACCACAATAAAATGTCACATTTACTTGCATCTATGTCCTGTACCTAACATTTTGTCGGTAATTTTTCATTATTGTTATGACCCTTTCTGGTTTAGCACTTCCCATGATAAGAATTAGACATAATACATAACAAGAATATATTATCTCTTCGAGGGTGGTTCCTAACCGTGCCTTTATGATGAAGGGCACTTGATCTAAGGAATTAAGGCGTCCCTACCCTTCCTTTGATCAAACTTGATTACCTCCTATTCTTCATTACCTGTATAATTTCCACGGGTTCAGCGCTTCCACATAGTGATATATCATAATGTTCACTGGTATTCATTTTCTTACACAAATAACTCGCACATAGGAGAGAGGAGCTTACGACGACGTTTCGGTCCGACTTGGACCATTTACAACGTCACTAGGCGGTGGGCGCATCTCATTCTACAACCACATCCCAATCATCCTATATAAATAGGAAGAGCCTCAATGTTGTCTTCTTGAGCTCCTCGTATATTAAACTATGGCTACAATTTCTAGTCCTGCTCGTGTGCTCGTAGCGTTTTGAACACATACTCAACATGGGTAAGTTGTCCAATCCTCGAGGAACATGTGCAACATCTGGGTATCTTTATTTGGAGACGTTTCGCCATCCAGTGGTTCTTATTAATACAAAGACATAATGTGAAGAATGTAGAATTATAAACAAAAGATGAGGTAATCAGTCCCTCAGTGTTAAAGTTGGTGAAGAGCACCGTAGTCTTGAAGCATCTGAAGCACAGGCATGAAGCTTCATGCCTGTGCTTCAGATTCTTGAAGACTACTGTGCTCTTCACCAGCTCCAAGACTGAGGGACTGATTACCTCATCTTTTGTATATACTGCAATTCTACATTTTTCACATTATGTCTATGTATTGTGTTGATAAAGCCAATGGTTGGCGAAACGTCTACAAATAAAGATACCCAGATGTTGCACATGTGTCTAATTCTTCTTTCTGTCGGTACTGTATATCATTCATGTACACCTTGAGGAAACTATCCATATGAAAACATCCAGTAGAAGATAAACATCATGAACCTGACGCTGCGACTTTTTTATCAGTAGATGTTTATTTTTGGTTGTTGGTTTAGATTAGATTAAAAAGCACTGTGAGTATACGAGTTAATATAAATTGACGGACATTGAACGTACAGCAGATAAGACGGACGTCTGGTTAACAACAGTCGTAGCCACAGAGTAAACTATACAGTCTATGTACATATATATACGTGAATCTCTATTTTTTTTATTTGTGCTTCGTTTACAAGCCATCGATTTCTTCACTACACACAATGCTAACCACAAACTTCACAAGACTCGGAAAACTTCTGATGTTATTCTAATAACATCTAATTATTAGAATGCTCTACCCACTAACGAATTTACACAGAGTACGATTTGGTAAATTAACAGATATTTTTAGTAATTAAGTTTTTCAAGATTAGCAATGAGTACAAGTTAAAAAAATATAAAAATTAACCAGTAAAAATACTAATATAGAGTAATGGAAGTTTTCCTATATATTAACTGTGGTAATGAAAGTACAGACTGAATAAAGAGTTGTGTTGTATACGAGAATGTTTTGAATACTGACTATCACTACACGAGGGTCTGCAACAATCATACCATCGTAGACACGATGTATCACAATACTGATAAGAATATTAAGGGCGACAACACTCTGGTAAATAGAAAACTATAAAATATCTAAGTCAAACCATTATTTACTATTCCTGAATGCATTACTCTGACAAGGTTAGGAAATTATTAGCAGAGAGGGAGTGGAGGTGTAGAGATGTGGTGTTTCAGAAGGTAGCGATGGGTCTATAAAGTCCCATGTCTCCGCAGAGCCGCAGCCTGAGTGAAGGAATGGCCTTCACTGCCTGGTGGATACAAGTGAGGAAGTTTGAGCAGTCACAGAGGAGGACGTAGTGAAGGCTGCCGTTTTGGGGTTTGGATTTGTGTAGCGTCAGCCGCCGCAGTCCCACCTCGTTAGTCAAACTCTTGTACAACGTTTTGGCTCCTGCAGAAAACACAGTAACAGTAATGCTGCTGATACGTCCTGGACAATATGCACTTTATAATACTACTAATATATATTTAACAATTACACTGTATAATACTAGTAATACATCCTGGATAACATATACTTTATATCATATATCCATGACAACACACTCCGTCAGCTGATGCTGGTGAAGGGCTTTTGCTCCTGGGAAATAAAGCTACTGTACGCTTCCTCGGATCAAACCTGATAGACTTGCGTTCTTCAACCGTTTCATGACCTTTACGGGTTTAGCGCTCTCCCAGTGTTGTGCATGCTGGTATATGGTGGGTAATCCCAAGTAATCTATACGACTCTCATAAACTTCTTTTATAGTATTGGCTAAGCCTATATTATGACACTTATTATTATTGTTGCTGTCATAATTAAATCAAGCACTAAACTCTTAAGGATCACACAACACTATAAAGAGCAAGAATTTTGTGTAAGCTTGAGCTGTCAGTGATTGTTTTCTTCTCCAATAAATTGTATTAAGTCTCTTACTTGCACAAAAACTAGTATAACTGTAGCATATATACATGTACACTTTAAGTAGAATAATACTGAAATTATACAACATTTGTGTGCGGCTTATGAGCAGTGGGTTGGCAATGTGCCGCTTGACATTGTTTATTAATATTAACCTCGATAATAGATACCCACAAATTGATTTAAAAAGACACATGAGCAAACACAATCTAAACCATTGTTTTTTGTGGTCATCTCTATCTTCCCATTTAAGTTTCTAACATTGGCATTCTTACTATCACTTTTCATATCAGAATTAAGGTATTCTTCTATTAATACGTATTATTATAAGAAAAAATAGATAATAAGTAATGCCATAAAGCTTATTTTTTTAATATACATTTAACTTAAACTACTTAATGATTTTCACTCTACTTTTCGTTATATTAATAATTATATCATATTCATACTGAAATAATTTACAAGCATTATGCACCGTAAGTATAATAATGAACAAGACGGTATATACACTGAGAAGTATATTTCTGTCAGTGTGTATACAGAGAGTTCACTTTAATCCCTGTTTTAGGTAATAATCTTATCTGGTGGTGACAAGGTTACGATGGACCCAAATAATCTAAGTGTAGTAGATAGGCTTTAAATCCCATTAACCAGGCAACAAATGGCCAACATGCACTAACTAGTACAGCGTCCAAGAAAATATACACTAGTAACACGTCCAGTATAATATACACTAGCAACACGTCCTGGACAACATACACTAGCAACACGTCTTGGACAACATACACTTGCAACACGTCTTGGACAACATACACTAGCAACATGTCCTGGACAACATACATTAGCAACACGTCTTGGACAACATACACTTGCAACACGTCTTGGACAACATACACTAGCAACACGTCCTGGACAACATACATTAGCAACACGTCTTGGACAACATACACTAGCAACACGTCCTGGACAACATACATTAGCAACACGTCTTGGACAACATACACTAGCAACACGTCCTGGACAACATACACTAGCAACACGTCTTGGACAACATACACTAGCAACACGTCCTGGACAACATACACTAGCAACACGTCCTGGACAACATACATTAGCAACACGTCCTGGACAACATACACTAGCAACACGTCCTGGACAACATACATTAGCAACACGTCCTGGACAACATACACTAGCAACACGTCCTGGACAACATACACTCAGTAATGTTAACACTAACAGCCCACATACAACTGGAGACTTTTCCAAGTTGTAATTATGGGTTAAATAAACAAAGACGTGATCAATATTTGTAATTGAAGTTGTAGCAACTCATCTGTCTAGCAGGTTCTGATATAACTAGGCTCAGCTTAACCTTCATCTGTCTCATTTATTTACCAGCTCAGACAGATTCTGGTCTCTGCTGTTTACCTGCATAGCTGTCATGCTTTTACGTACTTAACCAAACATTACCTAACCTCACAATAAAGAACTCGTTACTTGATGATTGAATAATAATCTTTATTTCTACAAGTACAAGGTATACAGTCCTAGCTGACATCAATGACATACTAATATATAGAAAGCTGCTTGTTATGCTGAGCATTTCGGGCAAATTAGGTCAATTTTGTTACCAGGATGCGACCCACACCAGTCGACTAACACTCGGGTACCTGTCTAACTGATAGGTGAACAAATACAGCAGGTGCCATAAGGAAACATATCCTGATATTTCCACCCGTACCGGGGATCGACCCCCGGACCTCAGTGTGTAATCTGAGTGCGCTAGCAATCGATGTACGGGACACCTCACATCATAGTTATGTGAGTTCGCACTGGAAAAAAGTTATGCAAATAAAAATTTATTTATTAAAATCCCTTTAAAGTTGAAGGGTTCTGGACCAGGAAATTGGAACAACTCTGTACTTCCGTGAATTAAGTTTAACTGTCTTCCACTGATCATTCCCCAGGCGTCGTATAGCACTTATGGGTTTAGTGCTTCCCTATGAATATAACAATAATATTAATAATTATATTATTATTATTATTATTATTATTATTAGTAGTAGTAGTAGTAGTAGTAGTAATGGTAAAACATTAGATATTGTACATTATAAGACTTACGTTAGTTAGGTAATGGTTATGCACCATGTAAGTAGTGTGATATACGTCTTTTTTAGAAAAATAACGTCATATTCTTTCTTAGAATATAAAAATAGCCACAAAAATTTGAAGTAGGCCAAAATGAAGTTAGAAAGATAGAGGTCTATCTCCCTCGTCAGTCCAGCACAATTTTGATCTCGAAATTTCCATTCACTTTAGTTATATATACACAAGAAAGTATGTCTCTCAGTGTATATACAGTGAAAGATTACTTTTATACCTAATTAAGTGATTAAAGTGTTTTCGACTGGTGGTGAACCGGTTACATGCAACCTTAATGACCCATGTGTAGTAGAGAGGCTGATTCAGCAACCAACCTCACCTGTCCATGCCAGCCAGTTCCTCTCAAACTTCTCGCCATCATCCCCCTCAAACACTTTGAAGACGGTGATGATATATCCGGTGGACGCCGACGTTGGCTTGCGGGAAATTTTTTCTGTTGAATACAAAAGTTAATGTATGAGAGATTTATTTACTAGGACGCAAACGCATCCTAAATGTTCAGTTTACTCTTAACACACACATGTGTATATATTTAATAAATCACACTCATACCTGACTAATATTAGTAAAAACTAGCCCACTGAAGTTGCTAATTTGATAACCGCAAAATGACCGTGTGTTTCGTCCTCACGATAACTCGTGAAGACTTTTGAGGCCTTAAAAAAAAAAAAAAAAAAAAAAAAAAACTGAGCTTCACAGAGTAGGCCAATGGCAGATAAAAGACGAGCGCCTCTCTTCCCTACATACGATGGATTACTGCTCTAACTGCGCTAAAATCACCACTACGACTCATCTAACAGAATATAAACACTAGCCAGTTCTTCGTCCTCCTTCAGGGAAGGATCGGGATGCCTTGACGTTCGTTATGGCAACTGAAGCTATCCTCTCCTTACTTGAATAAAACATTATTTCATAGAGGGGCAGAAGGGCTGATGGTGTGATCTTAGAAACAAGGAGCCAACTTGCCCATGAAAAGCTCTTGATCACAGGATTTGGAGCTGCCGTCCGCTTCCTTGAATCATACCTGATTACTCCATAGCCTTCCTCCCCCTTCCCCGGAGGTTGTATGACCCTTACGAATATATTATAATAATTACCTAGGGGAGGTCGTGCCAACATGGCCACCTCTTCGAAGGTGTCGAAATAGTGTGGGCAGGTGAAGCCGGTCTTGGCTGGATCAAGGGCAGTGAGGCTGTGTTGTCTGACTTTGTTGATCACCTGGTGAGCGTCACACTGCCGCCCGTCCACCACCCACACCACCATGTATGGGAACTCAACTGTGTGTGCCATGCAGAACACATATCAACAATTATCACACAAGGTTACATAGTATCCATGTTGCCAGTAGTGCAATAACAAGAATAAATGGAGCAGTTGCTCCAAGGCCCTCAGGTGTGAGGAGTCCCTTCAGGTGTGAGGGGGCCCTTCAGGTGTGAGGGGGCCTTCAGGTGTGAGGGGGCCTTTCAGGTGTGAGGGGAGCCTTTCAGGTGTGAGGGGACCTTTCAGGTGTGAGAGGGGCCTTTCAGGTGTGAGGGGGCTCTTCAGGTGTGAGGGGACCTTTCAGGTGTGAGAGGGGCCTTTCAGGTGTGAGAGGGGCCTTTCAGGTGTGAGGGGGCCTTTCAGGTGTGAGGGGAGCCTTTCAGGTGTGAGGGGGCCTTTCAGGTGTGAGGGGGCTCGTCAGGTGTGAGGGGACCTTTCAGGTGTGAGAGGGGCCTTTCATGTGTGAGGGGGCTCTTCAGGTGTTTAGGGGCCCTTCAGGTGTGAGGGAGCCCTTCAGGTGAGGGGGCCCTTCAGGTGTGAGGGGGCCCTTCAGGTGTGAGGGGGCCCCTTCAGGTGTGAGGGGGTCCTTCAGGTGTAAGGGGGCCCTTCAGGTGTGAGGGGGCCCTTCAGGTGTGAGGGGGGCCTTCAGGTGTGAGGGGGCTCTTCAGGTGTGAGGGGGCCCTTCAGGTGTGAGGGGGGTCCTTCAGGTTTTGAGGGGGCCCTTCAGGTGTGAGGGGGCCCTTCAGGTGTGAGGGGGCCCCTTCAGGTGTGAGGGGCCCTTCAGGTGTGAGGGGGCCCTTCAGGTGTGAGGGGGGCCTTTCAGGTGTGAGGGGGCTCTTCAGGTGTGAGGGGGCTCTTCAGGTGTGAGGGGGTCCTTCAGGTGTGAGGGGGCTCTTCAGGTGTGAGGGGGCTTTCAGGTGTGAGGGGGCCTTCAGGTGTGAGGGGGCCTTCAGGTGTGAGGGGGGCCTTTCAGGTGTGAGGGGGCTCTTCAGGTGTGAGGGGGCTCTTCAGGTGTGAGGGGGGTCCTTCAGGTGTGAGGGGGCTCTTCAGGTGTGAGGGGGCTCTTCAGGTGTGAGGGCTCTTCAGGTGTGAGGGCTCTTCAGGTGTGAGGGGGGCTCTTCAGGTGTGAGGGGGGCTCGTCAGGTGTGAGGGGGGTTCTTCAGGTGTGAGGGGGCCCCTTCAGGTGTGAGGGGGCTCCTTCAGGTGTGAGGGGGCCCTTCAGGTGTGAGGGGACCTTTCAGGTGTGAGAGGGGCCTTTCGGTGTGAGGGGGCCCTTCAGGTGTGAGGGACCTTTCAGGTGTGAGAGGGGCCTTTCAGGTGTGAGGGGGCTCTTCAGGTGTGAGGGGACCTTTCAGGTGTGAGGGGGCTCTTCAGGTGTGAGGGGGCTCTTCAGGTGTGAGGAGGCTCTTCAGGTGTGAGGGGACCTTTCAGGTGTGAGGGGGCTCTTCAGGTGTGAGGGGACCTTTCAGGTGTGAGGGGGCTCTTCAGGTGTGAGGGGACCTTTCAGGTGTGAGGGGACTCTTCAGGTGTAAGGGGGGGGGGAACACAAGATTCCACTTTTTGCATAAAAAATATCTTTAATGGAAAAAAAAAATCCAAAATTTCAAAACGATTTGTGTAATTATAATTTATTTTATGCATCATTCTGAGTAATTAGTTATGGGTTAAAAAAAAATTGACTAAAAAATATCTTGCATATACGTATGTGTCCTGCCAAGTTCCCACTTGCTGTAGACACTGTAAACAAAACAAAACAATGAACAATGGTACAACCCAACCACATATAGAGTGTAAATCAGAAGGCAAGAGTACTGTATAGTTACGCCTACACTTGGCGCCCTCTTCAGCAACATAGATGAATTAGTGATTTATTTAGCTCGCTCGTGGTTCGTTGCTATTATTATAGCCATAACCAAGCGCTAAACCCGTAAGGGTCGTGAATCCCTGCTATAACGCTATATTTAGTGTCATAAGCGTGTTCGTGCTATACTCAGCGCCATAGGTGAATCCATGCTATATTTAGCACAGTAGATGGGCCCGTGCTATATTTATCACATGTGGCCGTGCTATTTTAACACATTAGTTGGGTCTATATGTTATATCTAGCACTATAAATGAATACGTTACATATTTATTGCCACAGATGGGTTCATAATATATATAGCACAGGTCTGGGCAACTTTTAACATTATATATGACCCCATGCTATATTTAGTGCCATAGAAGGATCTGTGTTTTATTGAGAACCAGAGATGGAACTGGGCTACATATATCACCAGAGATGACACTTCGCTACATAAAGAACCATAGTTGACACTGAGCTACATATATTACCAGAGAAGAGACTACGCTACATATAGCACCAGCGATGACACTGTGCTACATATAGCACCAGCGATGACACTGTGCTACATATAGCACCAGCGATGACACTGCGCTACATATAGCACTAGAGATGACTCTGTGCTACATATATCACCAGAGATGACACTGTGCTACATATATCACCAGAGATGACACTGTGCTACATATATCACCAGAGATGACACTGTGCTACATACATCACCAGAGATGACACTGTGCTACATATATCACCAGAGATGACACAGTGCTACATATATCACCAGAGATGACACTGTGCTACATATATCACCAGAGATGACACTGTGCTACATATATCACCAGAGATGACACTGTGCTACATATATCACTAGAGATGACACTGTGCTACATATATCACCAGAGATGACACTGTGCTACTTATCACCAGAGTTGACACTGTGCTACATTATCACCAGAGATGACACTGTGCTACATATATCACCAGAGATGACACTGCGTTACATATATCACCAGAGATGACACTGTGCTACATATATCACCAGAGATGACACTGCGTTACATATATCACCAGAGATGACACTGTGCTACATATATCACCAGAGATGACACTGTGCTACATATATCACTAGAGATGACACTGTGCTACATATATCACCAGAGATGACACTGTGCTACATATATCACCAGAGTTGACACTGTGCTACATATATCACCAGAGATGACACTGTGCTACATATATCACCAGAGATGACACTGCGTTACATATATCACCAGAGATGACACTGTGCTACATATATCACCAGAGATGACACTGAGTTTGAGTTAGTCATAAAGTGTCCGTGAGAGAACTCTGGCTTCACATATGAACGGGTTAGCAGATAACTTTTCATCAACCTCTGTTATGAGGAGCGTACCTTGATGTTGACCAAGGGCTCTTGATCTAAGAAATTGGAGTAACCCTTCCATTCTCTGCATCAAACCTGACTGCATTCCATTTTCCAAGCGCTGCATAACCCCTACGAGTTTACAGCAACCCCATGAGTATAACAATAAGTGTTTACTATTTGGTAAGAACAACAATGTTCCATTCCCGGAATACCAGTTTCAACAGGCGATGACAGATTTATTCCATCTTGATGAAAACATTTCTGGTCATGGACTAGGCCGCGGGGGCGTCGACCCCCGAAACACTATCCAGGTATACATGAATATGGCCTTCACGGGTAGGTTGAGAAACTGGATGTATGTGTCACACCTGCCCAATAATGGCTCCTCAACTGTCATGATGATGCTGACGGGGTACTCCACCAGGTGGGGGTTGGTGAGGAAACTTCCACGGGTGGAGCTACCAACTAATTTAGCGCTGAAATTCACTATTTTTTCAAGAAATGGGATGACACCGCTATTGGCCCAATTCCCTCGGTCTAATGGGTGAGCAGATTCTGTAGTTGGCGTGGCCTACAGGATGATCCGCGACACTACTGGGACACAAGTCCCCGAAGCTTTGAGTAAATGGCCTAGAAAACCGACAAAATGATAAATAAGACACTTGTACAACACTTCGGAATCTTAATCTGGAAAAGTTTCACCAGGGAATTCTTCACAGCTTGCATAACCTATAGGCCCTGTACCTTTGATGTTCCCAGAGTTTTTGTACTTCCTCATTCACCTAGACACCGTGGAATCTTCTGCCGAGCTCACTGCATACCTCCCTGTTATTTCCTGTAAGTGCTCCGCCCTCCCTTCTCAGTGTTATCACTTGACCCTTTACCATCATATTTATTCTGGTGTGACTATGAAGAGCTGCTTTGGTTTTTGACTTTTGCCTTAGTTGATATGTTCGTTTCAACTTATGTTTTCAGCTTCCCTCCTCACCCGAAGATATCTGTGTCTCTTTTGGTCTCTGGCGTTTATGTAAGCTGTACTTTTCTATGCTCTTGTTTCTCGATTTTTGTCTCTTTACATTGACAACTGAACCATAGGTTCACCCAACGTCTCCTATCAATTCCTCTGGGGGTTAGTACAAACCTGTCAACAGCTTCTTTGGTCTTCTGGTTACAAATTGTGGGCGTTTCCTGGGTTTAGTTTCCCTTAAACTCATCACCTCATTGTATGGGCACAAAAAAATGTCACATTCTCTCATGATTGTCTTTCCTGTACATTAAAATCATCGATTCTCGAGTTCTCTTCTCTATAATTTCACTTCCACCAAGTAACAATAACAACACAGCGACCCCTTGTATCGAAGTGGCGTTCCATATTCAGCCTTATATATGCCCGTCTCGCAGGAGTTGAAAAATAAGATCCATTCTCACTGATTTGTCATTCCCTCTTATTCCCGTCGCTTCTGAAACATGCTACATCAGAAAGTTCTGCAATGTAGACTCAACTTACTCCGTCTCTGAGCCTCCACGTGAATCCCGGGCTTCTCGCTCTATAGTTTCCATTTATGAGAGAGTGTGAGGGAGCTGATACAGTGGCTTGGCAGGTAGGGTAAGGCAGAGTGAATCAGGTGTTGAAGTGTTAATCAAGAATTACCTGGCAGGTAGGGTGTCAGGTATAGTAGCAGTGCTAATCAAGAGTAAACTGCCAGGTAGGATAAGGAAGCGTAAGTCGGGTATAGTAGTAATGACTGACCTGGAAAGTAGGGTGAGTCAGGTGTGTTAGTAAGAGTAGTATTCACTGACTGGCAGGTATGGAGTTAGGTTTGTAATAGTAGTAATGACTGACCTGGCAACAGGTAGAGTGAGGTAAATCAGCAAGAGTGATAATGACAACTAACCTGCACCCATCTCGCCGCCACGCTCCAGGTTGATAAGCACCATGCCCTGCAGCGCCGCGCTGCTCACCCCTGACCCACACACCGCCGCCTTGAACGCCTGACAACCACACACTCATTCACATTACTCAAATCTACAACTTTTACTCTAAATTAATGCTTTTTAGCCAAAATATCTTATTTTTAGTGGAAAACTGAAATTTCCTAAAAGTGTTTGAAAATTTAAAACAAAATAAAACTTGAAAATATTGTGAAATAACAAGTTTTTATTTCGTGTAGAATATACTTGAACTTCTGATCTCAGTTTAATGTACCTATTTCATATTGTTTTAAATTATTGATTGTACCAAATTATTCCACAGTTATCACAATAAATTTGCTTTAGTTAACGAATTCTCTGTGATTTTAACTGCATAAAAACGAACTTTATTTCAGAGAAAATTCACTGCCTCGTGAGTTAACCACATTATTTTAAATTAAAATACAAAAGTAAATAAAGACACATCTTGATGCATCAAGATGTGTATGAGAGCAGCCAGGAAGGGTGGCAAGAAGTCAGTTATGGTGAGGACATCAGGAGAGGTTGCCAAGGTGACAGGGAAAAAAAGAGAGGAAGGCGGCAAGTCAAGAAGGGACGGGGGTAGGGCAGGAAGGGGCGGTGGCAGAGATGTATGTTGTGGCTGGCACATCAGGAAAGGGCGACAGGGCAAGAAGGGGCGGTGGCAGAGATGTATGTTGTGGCTGGCACATCAGGAGAGGGCGACAGTGCAAGAAGGGGCGGTGGCAGAGAAGTATGTTGTGGCTGGTACATCAGGAGAGGGCGACAGGGCAAGAAGGGGCGGTGGCAGAGATGTATGTTGTGGCTGGCACATCAGGAGAGAGCGACAGGGCAAGAAGGGGCGGCGGCAGAGAAGTATGCTGTGGCTGGTACATCAGGAAAGGGCGACAGGGCAGGAAGAGGCGGTGGCAGAGATGTATGTTGTGGCTGGTACATCAGGAGAGGGCGGCAGGGCAAGAAGGGGCGGTGGCAGAAAAGTAAGCTATGGCTGGTATATCAGGGGAAGGTGGCAGGGTATCAGGGAAGGATGGCAGGGCATTAAGGGAGGGTAGCAGGACATCAAGGGAGGGAAGCAAGGGTGGAGGGTTAGTGTAAGGGGTGGTGTCAGGGAACCAAGGGTAGACATCGTGGCACCTTGACGATGTGATCGCGGTGATGAATGTAGAGGTCATGTAGGGGAGAACAAAGGGCGGGTGTGACGTGGACAGCATGACCCATCATGTGGAAGACCACATGCAGGTGCTGCTCCGGCGCCTCCAGCAGCCGCAGCCGACCGTGGCTCGACGCTGTCGGGATCTGTAACAAAACATGCAACTGAAAATAATTTTAAATATAATTTTCGTAGTTATTAATTACAACGTAAACATTACCAAAACCATATATTACAGCTAAATGGCAAAATTGAGAGGAAACGTTAGACGACGTTTCGGTCCCTCCTGGACCTCAGAACCAGGACGGTCCGAAACGTCGTATAGTGATCAATTATGTGATTGGATTGTGCCCTAATCATGGCCAATGCTTTTTAGTGATAATAAAATGCTTGAATTTTCATGAAAGCATTAGCCTAATAGCTTAATTGAGCAGCCCATTACCATCCCTTGGGTGGTAGCCAAAATATTCCAGAGGCACATAATGGTCCAGGGAGGGCCCACAAGTTTTCATAGCTAAAAGAGTTTATATCTGGTTACAATCATAATGCAGACATGAATTCGGTCACAAAAAATACTACAGTGTAACCTATCTCCAAATTGGATGTGTAGAAAGTAACAGCACCAGATGATCATTTACATCAATGATCTTCCAAACATATCCCAACACCTGAAACCCATTCTCTTTGCTGACGACACGACTTATGTCATCTCCCACCCTAACCTTGCCACCCTCAACACCATTGTTAACGAGGAGCTGCTCAAAATATCGACTTGAATGACAGCCAATAAACTTACACTTAACACTGGCAAAACCTACTATATTATGTTTGGTAGCAGAGCAGGTGTTGCGCAACTTAACATTAAGATCGACAACACTCTAATTGCCAGACATAATGAGGGCAAATTCCTTGGCCTATACCTCGACAACAACCTAAATTTCAGCACCCATATCCAACACATAGTAAAAAAAGTATCCAAAACGGTGGGGATCCTCTCCAAGATACGATACTACGTGCCGCAAACTGCCCTTCTCACACAATACTATTCACTTATATATCCATACCTCACCTATGATATCTGTGCTTGGGGTTCAACTGCAGCAATACACCTTAAGCCGATAATAACCCAACAAAAAACCGTAGTAAGAATAATCACTAAATCCCATCCCTGGCAACACCCCTCCCCACTCTTTATAGATCTAAACTTACTCCCTGTTCAGAACATCCACACTTACTACTGTGCAATCTATATCTACAGGACCTTAAATTCCAATATTAACCTTGACCTAAAACGCTTTCTTGATAGTTGTGACAGGATCCACAGGCATAACACCAGACACAAACATCTCTATGACATTCCCCGTGTTCGACTAAACCTTTACAAAAATTCAATGTATTTCAAAGGACCTAAAATCTGGAACACCCTACCTGAAAACTCTAGAACTGCAGACACATTCATCACTTTCAAAACTATGTACAGTTAGAAAACATCTTATCTCCCTGATCCACCCCGACAACTAACTACATGATAACCACCTGGTGGTTCACAATTACACTCACTCACCTACTGACTATAAACCCAGAAATACTAATCTTAAAATAATAAATCCTAACTAGTCATAAGTTTGCCTATGATACTCCAATATAGACACCTTGTATTGTGCCAAAAGAAAAGCATTCACATTGCTAAACTCACAAATTATGATGTAGTCACTTAGCCTTAATACCATAATCTGTAAGGATTTAATGTTAAAATTTAATCTAAGTCTGCTCGAAATGCCTAGCCATGCTAGGTGTCCTAGTGGCCCCCTCTGTAATTAGTATTTTATAACATGTAAATCACACAATACCCAAAACCTGTAAACCCCACATTGTAACCCTTATAGAGAATAAACTACCCCTCAAGGGAGGTTCCTTGACGCTGGTGAGGGGCTCTTGATCTAAGGGAACTGGATCTGTGCTCCGGTTCCCTGAATTGAGCCTGAATGCCTTCCATCCCCCCCACTTGCGCTGTATAATCCTATGGGTTTAGCGCTCCCCCATGATTATAATAATAATAAAGAGAATAAACTTGAATCATTCAAGAAAGGTTGATTTCACGAAACCTAATGTATTAAGGAGTCAACTGAAGCAGGATCATTATATTGTCTTCACATCTCTTCCGCTTCTACCAACTTTTCTGTACTCGACTGAAGAACCTGCCGTGTAGGCGAAACCTTTCGAAATAAAGACACCTAGCTGTTGCATACGTGTCTTACCTAACAGGATCAAATAGCCTATCTAGTACATAAATAACCCGCCTAACTCAAACTAGAAATATATTTGTACCACGATACTGAATTTTTTATGACCTGGTTAATAACTTTGAGAATACAGAATATTGATATTGAATCCAAATGGTGTACTATCAATAATAGTGAAGAAAAGATGAAAGGTGCAGCACAAGCTCTTATTGGTTCAACTTTTAGCTTTATCAAATCATTGGCGAAACGTCTTCAGTGAAGATTCCATGCAACTGCATTTGTCTCCCTTAGTCATCCAATAAAATAGGAAAATGAAAGGCATTCAGGTTCGGTCCAAGGAAGGGGAGGATAAGTCCAATTTTTTAAACAAGTAATTTGAGAGCTATTGTCAAATTGCAGAAACTTGTATTGGATGATTCCTCAGGAAGGTTCCTCGATGCTGGTGAGGCGCTCCTGATCTAAAGAACTGGACTTTAGTCATCCCCTTCCTTGGATCGAACCTGATTGCCTCCCATTCTTCGAAGAGCGAATGTAGAAGAGTATAGAAATATAAAACCAATACCGCACACGAATTTTCTAAGCACATTGTAATTAAGGTCCGTAGCACTGTACTAAAAAATATGCAGCACCACTGCGCTACGAGGTAAACAAGTAACAATCTGACTTTATTGGGTTATCCTGGGGTTAAATCTTATAAATGTACTTTTTATGTGTTTAAAACTTCTATGTGCTCTCAAGACCATTAAGTAGATGTTACGTATGCGAAGCAAAAATAAAAGTTCACCTAATGAAAATTAAGACACATGTGCAACATTTTAGGACATAACTTGAAGGCAGTACAACTATATACAAAAGATGAGGTAATCAGTCCCTCAGCCTTGGAGTTGGTGTGAAGAGCACCGTAGTCGTGAAGAATCTGGAGCACAGACAAGAAGGCTGGTGTTTATATACTAACGTCAGGTGAAAAGGGACGTGTAGCAGATGAGGACATAGTCACTGTTAGGCGGGATTTCCCAGTGGAAGTAGGCCATACCCAAAGGGATAGGTTAGTTGTAGTAGCCGTGAAGGTTACCTAGTGTTAGTCAATTTTTGTGAGTCGCTTCCTAGGGTAGCACCCCAATGAAAATAAATCACACTAAAGGTTAAAATCTTTACATAGAGTAGACTGGGACGTACCGGATGTCCCGCTGGGAAGAAGCGGGACATACGGGCGACGGGTATCATGAGGGAGTCCTGCTTGATATTGCTCAGTGTGATGGGATCGTGCGAACCCGCCGCCATTGCTTCTGCGTCTGCCTTTGCCTGCTGCAGCGCCTGTGACAGGAAACACATGCCCACGGCGTTACTGAGAGCAAAAATGTAGAAATTAAGCAACAAAAACTATATATACTAAAATTCATTTAGATTAACTCCATAAATGTGTAGTAACTCCAAGAAACATGAGAATGGAAACTGTGTGAAGACAGATAATTACTCTCTCCGACATTATATCTTAGAATGTATATAAGTATAATAATACGGAATTAATATCACTATCAATTATGAACACTCTTAAGACTATTGTAACTAAAACTCATAGCATTTTTACCAAAAATATGCACTACCACTGTGCTACGAGGAATGTAATAACTTATCTTCTAAATCCTAGGAAACAAATGTTAAGCACCGCTAGTGAAGGTCTTGTACCGTGTTGCTGAATACTGAGGTACAGCTGGTCACCCCAGCCACCTGGCTCGGTGACCTAGCAATGTCCCCGCCGCGGGATGACGTTATTAGTAAGTAAGTAAGTTTATTCAGGTATACACAAATACAGTTACATAGAATTATCATACATAGCAGCATATGTGTAGAGAACCTAGGATAACCCAAAAAAGTCAGACACAGTGACTTATTTCCATTGGGGTCCTTTAACAACTTAATAAACTTTAACAAACTTAATAGCGCAAACAAACTGATTCCGGACCTTATATTTTTTAATTGTTGATTTACATCTCTTTCATTACATTTACTTCTCATATTGGCACTATCACAACAAAAGATGAGGTAATCAGTCCCTCAGCCTTGGAGTTGGTGTGAAGAGCATCGTGGTGGAGGAGAATCTGGAGCAAAGGCAAAAGGACTGGCGGTTATATAGGCGTCAGCGGACAGGGACGTGTAGCAGACAAGGGCATAGTCACTGGTAGGTGGGATTCCCCAGTGGAAGTAGGTCCTACCCAAAGGGATGGGTTAATTGTAGCAGCCGTGAATAGGTCTTGTAGATGTCCTCTGAACCAAGATTCCATGATGCTACAGTGTCTGACAAGTTGTGCAAGAAAGGTATAAAATACCGACAATATGAAAGTTTAGACACATGCGCAACATCTGGATATCTGATCACAAGCCTCATAACTCATACCGACATAATGCAACTTCTGACTGGCTTCAAACTTAGTGTGCCTGAGTATTTATGATATTGCTTTCTTTGAAAGGTCTGACTCAAATTTGGCCCGTATGTTCTATTTACAATTTTTATTAAAGGAATATGGATATTAGTTTCCATATGATGACTTATGAAAGCCTCTTCTGAGCCTCCTTAAATCTTCAACACTATTATTTAACTGCATTATCAACTTATGCCGCACTCTGCACTGTTCTAATCGCGTGCAGTGAGGCACAAGGGACTGAGGTTATGAAATACGAGGTTACCTTCCTCGGGTCGTGCGGCTTAATACATCTGGTTGCTACAACCTTCGGAGTGGTGCACATCTTGGTATGTTCACAACGCAAAGCTGCCACGGAATCTGAGAAGTTGTTGTTGTTGTTGTTATTATTATCTTTTGTGAACTCAATGGACATCTCCCGCCAAGGCAGTGACTCAAAGGAAACACATTCACCATCATATGTACCTCTGTAATCTGTAAATACCTCTGTAACTTGGCATGACTGTGATCAGATCTACCTGGAGTTCATTACCTCTGTAACTTGTTCAGCTATCAAAACTTTGGGGTCCAGTCCCTGGACCCATTATGTACCTCTGTAATCTTTTGACTACCGCCCACAGGATGGGTATGGGGTGCATAATAAACATATTAAACTAATGTGGAAAATTGCATTTATCTGAATGTATCATTATATACATAACAGTAAATGAACATAGATAATTATTATTTATCAGTTAGACAAGTAGGAATTTGGGACACCTAGGTCGCAAAAAATGTCCCCCTTCGATACCTATCACTGTCATATCCACAAGTTGCTCTGGACCTATTAATTAAATGAATTATATATCTCCAGGAATACTGGTAAATATATAAATTTGTGGACTATATTAAAATTAAAATAAGGATTATATATATACACATTTATATAACAGAAGGAAAATATCTTAATATCACTCACCAATTTGACTGGAGATTAATGTGTCATGTACAGGACCCCCCCCCCCCTCCCTTTTGCCTACATTTATGAAGAATTTACTGGCCAGAAATTAAACATAATTTAGACAGCTTATCTGAGGTTCCTGGAGTTGTCCTGTCCTGTCGCCTGATTCTCAAATTATGCAGGAATGCACATCCAACAATTTCGCCTCCTATTTGAGAGGTGTCAGCCCGATTTTAACCTCTAGAGCACGAAAAATTCTTCCCATTATTCACAACGTATTATTCAATTCAAACAAAATGGCGACTGTCCTGCCCAGACGCAGGCTTTCCGTTTTCTATGACATAAATATTATTAAATACAGTATGGCCATCTATTTACATATAACTACTGTATTTCTGGAAAATATATACAGTATTTTCCACAACTAAAATCATTCACTCGCCGTCTTTCCAGATGTCTGATAATAATAATAATAATAATAATAATAATAATAATAATAATAATAATAATAATAATAATAATAATAATATGTGAAGCGTTGAACCATGAGGACCATCCAACACAAGGAGTGGTAAAGGTAGTATTCTCGGACCGGTTATCGCTACCTGTCTCCTACCGTTATACGAGAGCAGTCCCAATAGTTTCTCCAGGGTATATATAACAAAATCTTAGGTAAAAAACTATCCAGTTTAGATCTCTCTCAGGATAGCTTTCTAATAATGACAAAATGATAGTTATAGAGGTCTTCATGTAAGCATATTACGCCAAAAAATACAAAAATACAATTACAAAAGAGATATCCAACAAGTTGAGTGATTAACACCCAACAAATAGTTGAGCCAGAATTTTGAATTATAATTTTTATATAGCTATTTAATTAAGTTCTTTTGGGAGTGTTGGAGTGTTGTGGCTTACCCTGGCGGCGGCTCCGGGAAGGGATGCCAAGTCAAATTTAGTGCTGTAACGCAGATTGCTCACCCAAGTTCTTTACTACCAAACCCGTCTTGATCGCTAGTACTCACCCTGGTGGCCCCTGTACTCACCCTGGAGACCCCTGTACTCACCCTGGCGGGTCCTGTACCCGCCCTGAAGGCCCCTGTACTCACCCTGGAGACCCCTGTACTTACGCCTGACGGCCTCTTGTACTCACCCTCACTGCTCCTGTATCCACCCGGGCGGCCCCTGTACTCACCCTGGCAGCCCCAGTACACACCCTGGAGGCCCCTGTACTCACCCGACGACCCCTGTATTAACCCTGACGGCCCCTGTACTCACCCTAGCACCAATACTATGGCTGCCCAATCCTCGTCCGGCACCTATATTCACCCTGACATCAGTACTCGCCCACGAACCACTAGTCGCTATGGCATCTCTAGTATTTACCCTGATAGCTCCAGTATTCATCCTTGAGGGTCAATACTTACCTGGGCAGTTGTATTTCATGTCACCAGTATTCACTCGGGCAGCGCCAATATTCATCCTTGTAGATCAGTATTCACCCTTGAAACACAAGTATTCATCTCTGTATGCAAATACTTACCCGGGAAGCAGAATTCACCCTACCAACGGTGCTTATCCTGTAAGCGTCACAGTATTCACCCCTAGCACAGCCAATACTCACCTTGGTTGCGTCAGTATTCACCCTAGCATCACCAGTACTTATCCTAGCAGCGTCAGTTTTCACTTTAGAATAACCATTACCCACCATAGCAGCATCAGTATTCACTTTAGCATAACCAATACTCAACCAGGCAGCGTCTTCGTTTTCTCCCTAGCACCGTCGATATTCACACTGGTAGCGTGAGTACTCAGCTTAGCATCAGTAGTACTCACCCTAGCATCACCATAACCTACCCTAGAACGTCGGTATTCACTCTAGCACCCCTAGTACTCACCCTAGCAGCACTTTGGCGCCGTTGCTCCTGTAATAGCGCCAAGGTAGCAGCAGTGTTGTCAGCAGACGAGTGGGCAGACGTCTTCTTGCGAGTAAAAAAGCTAAACCTTGAACCCGTGCTGGTCTTTGGAGTCTGCTGGTCCTGGTTCAGCCTCGAGTAGGACATGTCGATGAGGAGATGGGTGCGGAGTGGGAACTCTGAGGAGCACACTTCGCAATCGCACCCCAGGGCGTGTCCTGCTTGGGAGAGACTTCAGTTAGCAGTCGTCATCTCAAACATCTCCCTTACTCTCATTTTATCATGAGATATCAGGTAGCACAACCTCCGAACTCGCTATTTCTCACTTACACTTAAGTGGGGAAATTATAACCTACGTAACATTACTGTTGTGAAACATGTCTGCCTGAAGGTTGTCTGGTAGCACACTCCCACCGCGCCTGCACCGCACAACACAACTAATTGTTCTGCTTCATCTGCACCTTTTGGCTTAATTCTATACTAGCCTAATGCTAGGATTACTTTAGGCATCTGTTGAACAACTCGCGTCCTATCAGCCCGAGAGGCATGACAACCTCGCTAAAGGGTACAGTGGTTTGGCAGCTAAACGTTGTTACAGTGAACAGGAAAATAGTTCCATGACACAGAATACCTGCTGTATGAGACTTAATTTTTCTTTGTTCTGATGGAGAGTTTGAACTTTCATGTGAGACCTAAATGAAATGCGAATGTAGTCGAATATTGTCATTATCATTATCAGCATGGTGAAGCTATAAACAGGTAGGGGCTATACAATGCCTAGAAAATGGAAGGTAATCACGTCTGATCCGAGGATAAAGTTGGTGGCTCCAATTCTATCACATAAAACCCTTTTCACCAGGATCTGTGAATGTTGTGGAACAGTATGCGTTGCTGTGCTCTTATGTAACCTTCTTGCAGGTTACGTAAGGTAAGATTCGTTAGGGTTTCCTGAAGCCTGTTTTAGTTATGATGACCCGCCACTGGAGCTTTTAGTCCACCCCTTTATATATATATTATATATATATATATAATATATTATATATATATAATTATATATATATATATATATATATATATATATATATATATTATATATATATATATATATATATATATATATATATATATATATATATATATATATATATATATATATATACATAATAGCTGAGTGAGAAGTGTCCGAGTGGTACACTGACCCAAATATTCCTGAGGTAGGTTACTGCAAACATTTGGCTTGTCTCACGCTCTCATCAATTAAAACAAAAGCTAATATAAGTGTTCAATGAGAACAAAGATTACTAGATATGTAATCGTTGGATAAGACTTCGCCAGACAACTAAATGAGATACTGAGCGAACAAAATATGCAGAAAAACAATCTATAATATCTAAAAAAAAATCTAATATAAATTTATTTAGATAAATATTATATAAATAATATTTATCTAAACATTTTGTTCTCGTAAATAATTTCATGTACATGATGAAACAATGTTATACGTTATTAAGAATTCCCAGAACATGAACATTCAAAAAAAAAACTCCTAATGAAATTCTTCGGTGATCGGCGCCACATTTTATTACCAAAGTGTAAATATAATAATAATAATAATAATAATAATAATAATAATAATAATAATGATGATGATAATAATAATAATAATAATAGTAATAATAATAATAATAATAATAATAAATAATAATAATAATAATAATAATAATAGCGTGGAGGAGTACTGCCTGGGGACCTCAGGCAGCATAAGCTAACTTTATTTTTCTGCCTGAAATAACTGTTATGACAAACATACATACAAATAACCTACACACCTATGCCCCTAAAATTAATTAAGATAAAGAAAAAATCTACCAATGAATTTGGTAAGATGTGGTGGGTGTCTAGAGAAAGGTCAATAAAGGTCTTGCCAGTGACTGACAAGTCCAGACAAGGCTAGCCGTTCTCATAGGAAGACAGTATCTGGGGGAGACAAAGAGCTGTAGAGAAAAGAGAGCCGAAGTGTTGTGTGGCATCAATAACGTTTTCCTCTCCCAGAAGTTAGTAACTGGTCTGGCTGGAGAAACAAGGCCAAGTGGGCTCTGCAGTAGGCAAGGATCTTTGTCACGTTACACAGAGATACACGTCCATGGCTACAGTGGTGCCGTGACAGAGGTGGAGAATGAGGTGTTATAAGGCCAAGTATAGTGGTGGCAAAGAAAAATGAACGATTTGAAGGGTTCAGCCCTGCAAAAGACTGGCTTATTATAAGGGAAATCTTCAAACCTGGAAGTAGAAGTGATATTACTTTCGAAACTATCCTATTATTGCTTCTGGATTTCAAACAGATTTACTCCCCCTCCAAAAGAAAAAACCCGAAAGTATAGCTATGGTTGAAAAACCGATGACATTAAAGCCATAATGGCAAAATGGAAGTGTTTTCTCGATAACGTTTTCCCTTCTGCCATAGTAACTTTTTATATGTTATTTTTTAAACCAAAACCAACATAACAACCAAGTCTAACCTTGATAAAATATACATAATATGAAATAAATAATCTAATCCACAATATCAAATGATGTTATTATTTTTTAAATGGGTGTATTGGTAAGCACATGACTCCAAAGCTCCAGTGGTGGGTCATCATGTAACTAAGACCTGCGTCAGGAGGCACTTATCCTGTTTCCCAACAAATCTTACTAACCTAACCTAACTAAGGGTCAGAGAATCTTTAGTCAACTCTTAATGAACAGTAATAGTACATATGTTTTTTAAGAGGAGCTGAATTGCACGTTTAAACTTGACTCCAGTTCAATGAGTTACTTAAGAACAAACTTTACTCTAAAGTCGAGGGGTCTCTGAATTTATTAGAACGAATATTATGTCTACTGTAAAAGTTACACCCTGTGTTTTAAGTTCAAGGAGTGGTGAAGGCTCGATCTTCCCTCCATAAGTAAAAGAAACACGCCAACCACACTCTAGAAGTCATTAGGTGTGCCGATGAACTTCATTATCATTATTTTAGGAGAAAGCGCTAAATCCTTAGGTGTCATACAGAGCTTGGGAACTAGGAGCCAATCGGGTTGTATCCAAGAGAGGGAAAAACAGATCCAGTTCCTGGGACTCAGAGGGGGAGGCACTTGTTCGGCAAGGACAGAGGCAGCAATCAAAGGGTTACATGATTGTGAAAGGGCTGAGAGACGAGCCGAGTGTTAGAGAGGAAAGTTATTTGCAAAACCCCAACACGAGAAGCTCTTCGGGTCTAGAATCATTCTACATATACATGTGCTTCACAGGATGGACCTTCAAGGAAGTGGGGTAACTTGATGTTGGTGCAAGGCTCTTGATTCAAGTAATTTGAGCTACTCCTTACTCGAATCTGTGTTGATTACATTATTCCCAAAGTTTTAGCTCTTCCGTATGAATCTAGGAGGCCGTGAGTTTCAAATCTCGTCCATTCCTTAGAAAAAATATCTTGATGTACATATATACATGATATATGCAATTCTTGGTGCATATACACACATAACTTTTGCTGTATATACATCGGGATGCAAACGTCTCCATGTATATACAATGAGAGATACATCTCTATGTACACAGACCAAGATACATACCTCTCGAAATTTATTCACTAAGATTCACACTTCTCGGTATATATACGTACTAAGAGATAAACATTTCTCGGCGTATATACACTAAGAGATAAACACTTCTCAGCGTATATACACTATGAGATAAACATTTCTCGGAGTATATACACTAAAAGATACAAATATACATTAAAAGAGGAAGAAATGTGTGTAGGGGAAGGGGTGAGTAAGACAGGAGTTAAGAGTAAACCAACACTACCCTGCTTGTCCCTTGCTATATATACATCCACTGTCTTCACATATTAACTGTTCCACATCTAACAGCATCTACCTCAAAGGTATTCCGAGAAGTGACTTTTCCTCTGAAATATAAAAGATTATCTCCTTAATTAGTTTTTCCCGGAACTTCACAAAATCCTAGATATTACCTGTGCTTGGCAATCTATTGCTATTATTATTATTATTATTATTATTATTATTATTATTATTATTATTATTATTATTATTATTATTACAATATTCAAGGTGAAGCGTTAAACCCGTAGAGGTCAAACAACTAGATCCAAGAAAGGGAATGGTAGCTCCAGTTCACTGGATCAAAAACACTTCACCAGCATCAAGGTAACCCCTTGAAGGAAAGCTCCCAGCTCAATAATTCAGTTCCGCTGCACCACAATAACAAGAGCACATTTGGCACGCTGGCACTGGTGGCACCTGGCGTTGAGTAGGTCGCTTGATGCAGTGTTTATCAACTGTCTAGGACAGCGGTTCTTAACCTGGGGGTTCCCTCCCCCCTGGGAAGCGTGAGTAATTTTCGGGGAAAGAACACAAACCCAGAACAAGAATAAGGAATATTTTGTGTATTTGTGATTTGCTCCATAAACATTCTTTGTGAATGTTTAAAATAATAAAATTAAGAATGAGATCTAGTTTATCAGTTTTTATATTTACATAAAGAGGACTTTTTTTAATTTTTACATTTAGAATTTTAAATGAAGGAAGGAGGGAGGGGGGGGGGACGTGGAAATGACCAAATGCGATAGGGGATGCCACCCAAAATAGATTCAGTACGATACAATGGTCTAGGTCTAGGAGGAGACAAACCCGGCTGCGAGACGTAGTGTGTCTGGTGATTAATGGAAGGAGGATCGAGCCTCCACAACTCCAACGTAGGTATATCGTTTCATGTAAATAAATTACATCAACATTTTTGAGTCACTGACTATATGATTATACAGGGGTAGTGTGACTGATGCTCCTCCCACTACAAAAAACAGTCAAGGGAGAATGCTCTGGGACTATATCATTAGGCTTCGATACAAGAAAATGCAGTAGACCTAGAATAATTTAATCTCAGTCAAATTGACTGAGATTTCCTAGAAGTTGTCCAAGAACTTCGTGACAGAACCAACTAGAGGTAAAGACCTGACCTAGTTTTGGATTATTATTATTATTATTTATAATCAAAAGGGAAGCGCTAAACCCGGAGGGTTATACAGCGCCTGGGGGGGGGGATGTGGAAGGCATTCAGGCTTAATTTGGGGAACTGGAGCACAGATCCAATTCCCTAAATCAAGAGCCCCTCACCAACATCAAGGAACCTTCCTTGAGGGGACCTAGTTTTGGAAAA